AATTTTCAATAACATCTCTCAACCCTAACCCTAATTCCTTATTTATCCATTTCCCAGATCCCCAATTTCTCTCTCTCTCTCTCTCTATATATATATATATATATATATATATGTGTGTGTGTGTGTGTTTGTACCTATCAATTTTGGTGGTGGTGGTGGTTATGGCGTGTGTGAAGAGGGTTAACAGATCGGCGTCGGTGGCGTTCGCACCGGACCCCCCCATACATGGCGGCGAGGACGATGGCCTTCGTCGGTGAATCTCGAGATCTTCGAGGTCGATTTCCAGTCCGACGATCGTGAGCTCCCCGTTGTCGGCGATTTAATCGGGTCTCTTGGGGGAAGAATAAGCAACACTATCATTTGCACAAACAGAACCAGCAAGAAATCTATCAGACAAAAACCTCACAACCCAACCTAAATGACCCGTAAATAAAACCTCACAGCCCGACAGAGAGAGAAGGAGAGAGGTAGAAAAAAAGACTGAAACCACTGAAACAATTAAAAAACATACACAACTCGACAGAAACAGAAGGGGAGAGACAGATATCTTACCTTGCGAGCCGAGTTCGAGAGGCAGATATCAAGGACTGGAGAGCAGCGTCGGGAGCTAGCGAATATGGAGGGTAGGAAAGAAGAAGAACCGTTGGATGAGAGAGGGAAGGGTAAGGGAGAGACGTGTTTAGGCAGATGTGAGAGAGAGAGAGCAGAAATTGTTTGGGCGGTAAAAAAATTGATGACAACCGTTGGATATTGATTGGGATTATCTCTGCCATTAGATGCCATTAGATCAAAATGTATCTCACATACATTTTTTAAAAACCTTTGTGCCTTATTATATAGATATATATATAACACAAACTAATTTTACATTGTATTTTTCATATATATAACTACTAATTTGTAATAAATTTCACTTCTTAAATTTCTCTTACATTTATTTTTATTTTGATATTTTAATAGAAATTAAATATATATATATATATATATTAACTATAACAAAGCAGAGTGGTTTCAAAGGCGGATTATAAATTTTAAAATTTAATCCGCGGTTAATAAATAGATTGGTACAAATTGATGCAGATCACTGTAACTTTAGCAAATTAGACGGTATTTTGCACAATCCTAGGTAAAGGTGTAGCGATTTGGTTCGATAGGTATTGATGGCATATTTAGCATCGAACAGATTCATTCGGTTTTCATTGAGAAACTAATATAGACAGTATGTTATAGTTCAATTTTATCAATTTCCTAATCTGATGTAAAAAAAAAATATTACATGAAATTTTAAAACATTTTATAATAGATTATACAATTTTATACATTTAAAATAAATAAAGAAAATATATAAAAATTACTCTATAAATATTTTTTCCCTAGTGTTTATAATCTTTGACTAATGGAAAAATCTAATCTTTTTGACTCTTGTAAAAATAATTAAAAGGTTGTAAATATAATGAAATATCTAAAAAAAAAGTTCTTACTATTTCACACACGCTAATTTAAATGAGTGGATGTAGTTTGTTTTTGATGATCATAAATCATCATGCTAATTTTGTTTTTGACTAATTGTGCAGCTGAATGGTAAAAGAGAGTCCAAGAAAGAAAGAAATTTTATACCCATTTTTATGAATTTCATCAATTATAATTAATGGAGACTAAAATATACAATAATGTTAGGAACTCATTAAATTATCTCATGAAAATATTTATAAAAAAATTTGATTATACAATAATTAAATTGAATGACAAAAAAATTAATTTGTTGTTAAAGAAATTAAAATATCAAAAAGCTATTAAATTATTTGTCATTAGTTAAAAAAAGTCAATTGTCGCATCAATGTTTTCACTCACAAAAATTACTTGCTTTAGCAAAATAAAAAAATAAAATTTAAAATTTAACTCTTGAAATAATAAAAAAAATCATAAAATCATAAAAAAAAAAACAAATCCCAAATATGGGAAATCTTATGGTGTGCACCCCTAAAGGGATGCATACCATATGCATCCTATCATAAATTGGTATAATTTTATTACAAAATTTCGTAATATTTATTATAAAATATGTAATCTCGTTATAAATTGATGTAACAAAAAATGTTTTAATCAAGTTATAAATTTTTGTAACATCAATTACAAAATTTAAAACATTTTGTTGTGTTAATTTGTGGTGAAATTACACATTTTGTAATTGATATTACGAATTTTTATAATAAAATTATGCCAATTTATGCAAGATGTGCACCATAAACTTTCCCAATATATATATATATATACATAAAACTTGATGGTATAGAATCACAAATAATTTTAAGATAAATTATGAATACAACTTATGAGATTTTTTAAAACATGGATTGCTTCTTATGATTCTGAAAATTATATTCTGCCCATTTAAATTTTCAATTGCATAACAAATGACTAATTTTATTAGTAAATAATTATTTCATAATTATATTTTAATTAACAATTTAAAAAATTAAAACCAAACAATGTGTATAATTTTCAAAATTATAATAACAATTCATACTTTAAATAAATCTTTAAAATTATATTTGTAAGTTATTCATAATTTTTTTTAGCATAGGATGAGAATCCATTTCCTTTTACGATCATGCTACGTAGCTCGAATGTCGCGGCTCGACACCAAAACGACGTCGTTTTGGTGTCGGTTTTGTTATTTTTTTCTACGTAGCATGATCGTAAAAGGAAATGGATTCTCATCCTATGCTAAAAAAAATTATGAATAACTTACAAATATGGAGGAGGAGGAGGAGGGAGGGGAGGGGGCCATAAAAACCGGTTTGAGGAGGAGGGGAGGCTGGGCAGACGACGGTGGTGCTGCGACATTGGTGGGGCTGCGACGGAGGAGGAAGCAGAGGCGGCGGCGGGAGCTACGACGACGGCGGGAGCTGCGACGATGGCGGGGCGAGGAGCTGCGACGCCGACCTTCTTCCTCTCCCTCCCTCCTCTTTCTCCTCTCCCTCTCTTTCTCTCTCTCTCCCTCTCCCTCTCCTTCTCTTCCTCTCGAGCCATTTTCAAGCCTGGTAGCTTCGAGCTACCAGGCATTTTCCAAGGAACAAGACACATACAGCTCATCTGGGAACAGCGAAATGCAGTGTGGAAATAGGGAAGGGGAATGCTTTGCGTGATGCGACGCCAAACAGTGCCGTTTAGTTGTATTTTTAAAAGGAATAGGCTTCTCTCCAGTTTATTGTATAGATTGGAGTGTATTTTTAAGTTTATGGGGCCGATCACAAGTCTCGTTTTGATAATTCGAACCGTTTAATGTATAAAGTTTGTTGAGTACTTCATGTCTGGAAAAAATTATCTTAATCGAATATCGATAGCTCATTGATCGGAACATATTTTTGTTACATACTTATTTTTAAAATCTTATTTACCATTCACAAAAATCTGTTTCGAAGGGTTAACGGTATCTGATCATTGTGATTCTTTGTAGGCATGAAATATACGATAAGTTCTAAACATTGAACGGTTCGAATTATCAAAATGAGAATCGTGATTGACCCCACAGATCCAACAATTGGACTGGAGAGAAGCTTCTCCTTTTTCAAAATCTCTTCAATTTATGCTAGTATACATTGTTTTTAAGATTATTTTCAACTTGAATTTCTTTAATTTGGTTTTTTTGACTAATTTAACTTGGCTAAATTAGCTTCATTTAGAAAGAATTTTCACTTTTAATTTTTATTTTTTGACTTTTTTTGTTTTTCTTTGAGAGGAAAAATAAAATAATTGTAATTTGAATATGATATTTTATTTTATTAACTTGTTTAAACTATTTTATATTTTTCATACGTTTTTTAGTCCACTTGTCACACGTCAACTTAATTAATCGATGCTTTTCAAAAAAAATTATGCAATCTCATTCAACTGCATATATATATATATATATATATATATAAGGATGATTTAGTGATAACCCTCTCACTATATAATTTGTTTTTCAAAAAAAAAAGAATTATATAAGTACGTTCAAAACCCCATAATATTTTAAAACTTGTTTCCTTTACTATATTACCCTCATATCTATCAGCTCTCCTATTAAGCCATCTTCACTGTGTATTTCAGAGTAAAATTTTACTCTGTATAAAAGTAAAATTTTACTCTGAATAAGAGTAAATTGTTACACTCTGAAACTAAAAGTAAAATTTTACTCTGTATAAAAGTAAAATTTTACTCTGAAAAACTAGTAAAATATTATACTCTACATAGAAGTAAAATTTTACTCTGTATAAAAGTAAAATCTTACTCTGAAAAACGAGCAAACTGTGAGACTCTGAAACTAAAAGTAAAATTTTACTCTGTATAAAAGTAAAATTTTACTCTGAAAAACTAGTAAAATGTTAGACTCTCACTACAAAAAAAAATTGTTTTTTGCGACGGCAAAACGCCGTCGCAAATACCCCAAACGCCGTCTCAAAAGGTATTTGCGACGGTAAAATGGTTTTTTGCGACGGCAAGTGAGGGTCGCAACAAAGGGGGTTGCAAAAGGGTTTTAGCTTTGTTTTTGCGACGGGAAAATTCGTTTTTTGCGACGGCAAATTTCTGTCGCAATAATGGATGAAAATCTGAGTTTTTTGCGACGGCACAGTATTGCCATCGCTAAAAGGGTTTTTTGCGACGGAAAAAATACTGTCGCTAAAAGTGTATTTGAGACAGCAACCTGAGCCGTCACTAATGACTATTGTCGACGGCAATGATACCGTCGCTAAAGGCCTTATTTTTCAATTATATTCCCTACCTTTTGCGACAGTATAGGTGCCGTCGCAAAAAGCCTGGTTCAATTTTTTTTTGAGACGGGGTGTTCTGCCGTCTCAAAAAAAAATTTAAAAAAAAATACCCTGTATTAAAATTATTAAAAATATCAAAATAACCTGTATTAAATGAAAAATAACTAAAAAAAAAATTAATAATTACATAATAATATAAAAAGTCCAGTATATAAATAAAAATTCATCCATAATTAAAAATTCTTCCATTCATAACAATACATCAGCAAAATTATCCCAATACATGATGTTGCATAATACATACATAATATTGTTCACAAATCTAAATAACGTAAATTAAAAACAAAAGTTTTCATCATGATTCTTCTATGGGTTAATATTTTAATCTTTACACGCCTGCATTCCACAAGAAGCAAACTGCTATTCCGGAAATATCTGAAAATAACAAAATAAAAATAATTAATGACAATATAATTGTGTTAATATTTTAATTACAGAAAAACATAAAAAATTAACTACTATATATATAAAAAATTGGCAAAATAAGGATTCATACTTTTGTTGCAGCCAAAGATTCTAGGAATATTTATTTATTTATTTTTGACTCACGACTCTGATGGCATTAAAACTGATTGTTTCGAGGAAAGTACATTATGTCCTTACATGTCACAGTTTATAACAATTTCTTTTAACAATGTGAGATATGGGTTGGCAAAAATTAGATCATGAATAGATCATGAAGACTGATAAAAAAAAATTAAAAAAATTAAAAAAAGCCTTTCCTATGTGAAATTCAAGAACCAAATGAAATGCATATTACTGCCATCTTCATATTGACAGCATATACAAATGAGATTTGCAAGAATCTTCTTAGTAATATCAATATATGTGCTCATACATGAGAAATCAAAGGATTGAAACAAGCCAACAGCCCACCCATCCAGCTCCATAGACCAACTCTACTTATAGCTTACTGTAGAAATGACTCCATCCAACTATATGTTTTAGACTACCACAATTTTTATGTAAAATCTGTACTAGTGGAGACAAAGGAAAATATCAAATAACATTTAACTTAAATTAATATTTAATATATAGTAACCTTTTGTTTAACAATCTAGATAAATAGAAAGCATGATAATACATGATTCATTGCAGACCAAATAATATGATTGTTTAATACATGCAGAATCTTACAAAACAATGGTTTAAACCAAGGCACAAACTAGTCATAAAACAAATAAAAAGCATTCAACAATGAAGAAATATAGTCATCAAAATAACAAATTATACAAAAAGCATTCAACAATGAAGAAATATAGTCATCAAAATAACAAATTATACAAAGGCTTGGGTATTTGATGTCCGCGGCACAATATATCACACAAGCGAAGGAATAAAAAGGCGTGGACAATGCGCCGTTTAAAATTACTAGAAAAACATGTAACATGTGATGATGACAGAATTGTACCTTTGGAAGGCTCCAACGGCTGATTCTTTTCAAGAATCTGGGATCTTTTCCCGGAAGGGTTAAAGGCACCAGATTCTGCAGCAATTCTTTGGCTGTTGTAGACACCCCATTTTTGACCGTCCTCAAGACTTGGACGTCACCGTTTGAACACTCGGTGATTATCCATGTTTGTGTTCGTTTGGAGTTCCCGGAGGTCTCGGCTCGCGCGCCCCGCCTCAGGATCCCCGAACTCGACCGTTTAGTGTCTGGTTTTGCACCAAACACTTGCATCTTGCCTTTGAGAGGCAGGGTGGGGCTTGTAGACCATCCCCACCCATCACCGGCAGTGGCTAGGTGCCACCGGCTGGTTTTTGCTGCCACCGGCAATGTAGTTTGCCGGTCGGCACTATTTGTTGCCGGTCAGCACTTTTTTGTGCCGGTCGGCACTTTTTTTGGCCAAGATGGCATTTTTGCCGGCCGATTGCTGTTCATCTGCTTTTACAGATATTTTTGGACAACTGTATAACTTTTGCTCCCCTCCATACACGTGTATGGAGGGATCTCCCTCTTAAAAAGCTTGTCTTGGAAGCTTTACAAGAGGCTTATAGAGGGGAGCTCTCTCTAAGGCAAAAAAAGGAGGCTTAGACATTTTTGAGAGAGGAAAATACAGAGAAGAGCTCTGGTTTTCTAGGGTTAGGGTTAGATACACTCACCTATCTCTCTTTTCCTCTCATTTTGCACACTAGGTGTTTTGTGTCTCATTATTGCACACAAACACCTAGTGTTTCACCTTCCTCTTGGAGCTGAGGTTCTAAAGAGTGTGTTTTGAAGTTTTTGTCTTGGATTCAAGCTCAAGGAGGCCATTGGAGCACCATTTTTTTCTTTACTTCCTAGGAAAGGAAAGTGTAGGTGTTTCAATCATCGATTTGAATAAGAATTTAAGTAGGAATTTGAAAATAAAAAGAGAAAAGATAAGTAAAATATAATTACATTCCACCTAATTTTTTTCTTTCACCTTTTGAATTCCTACCCAAATCTATAATTTAAACGCAATCTAAGGGTTCTAATCAATTCAGATAATCCCAATCTATTAGCTTTAAAATGATACGTGAGTCTAATTTTTGTCATGATTTTTCTTGAATTTTCATGCAATTATCTTGTCGTGTACTTTCTATTGCAACAAGACATATCAACAAAGTACATATTCAAGTTAAAACTAAAATAAAATCACATTAAAATCACATATTTTAAAACGATATGATTTTACTTCAATCTTAAACATAAACCATTGGATTAATTTACCACAGAAAAACTATTATAGAGAATCGTGATCGACAATACATAATGCACAGAAATCCATAACAAAATTGTAAGGATATATTTGATATGCCCCAAAATTATCCACTCAATATAGCTTCAATCAAAAAGCTTAGCTTGTTTACACCCAAAAACAAAATGCTTAGCTTGTATGAATCATCTATTTGTGAACATGTTTTGAACTGAGAAACTGAGAAAAATCATGAGACCATGAGCATAGTAACCCTTCAAAAACATCACACACTACAAAAAAAATTATTTTTTGCGACGGCAAAACACCGTCGCAAATACCCCAAACGCCGTCTCAAAAGGTATTTGCGACGGTAAAATGGTTTTTTGCGACGGCAAGTGGGGGTCGCAACAAAGGGGGTTGCAAAAGGGTTTTAGCGACGGCAAGTGCCGTCGCCTTTGCTTTTGCGACGGGAAAATTCGTTTTTTGCGACAGCAAATTTCTGTTGCAATAATGGATGAAAATCTGAGTTTTTTGCGACGGCAGAGTATTGTCGTCGCTAAAAGGGTTTTTTGCGACGAGAAAAATACTGTCGCTAAAAGTGTATTTGAGACAGCATCCTGAGCCGTCGCTAATAACTATTGTCGACGGCAATGATACCGTCGCTAAAGGCCTTATTTTTCAATTATATTCCCTACCTTTTGCGACAGTATAGGTGCCGTCGCAAAAAGCCTGATTCAATTTTCTTTTTGAGACGGGGTGTTCTGCCGTCTCAAAAAAAAATTTAAAAAAAAATACCCTGTATTAAAATTATTAAAAATATCAAAATAACCTGTATTAAATGAAAAACAACTAAAAAAAATCAATAATTACATAATAATATAAAAAGTCCAGTATATAAATAAAAATTCATCCATAATTAAAATATTCTTCCATTCATAACAATACATCAGCAAAATTATCCCAATACATAATGTTGCATAATATATACATAATGTTGTTCACAAATCTAAATAACGTAAATTAAAAACAAAAGTTTTCGTCATGATTCTTCCATGGGTTAATATTTTAATCTTTACATGCCTGCATTCCACAAGAAGCAAACTGCTACTCCGGAAATATCTGAAAATAACAAAATAAAAATAATTAATGACAATATAATTGTGTTAATATTTTAATTACAGAAAAACATAAAAAATTAACTACTATATATATAAAAAATTGGCAGAATAAGGATTCATACTTTTGTTGCAGCCAAAGATTCTAGGAATATTTATTTATTTATTTTTGACTCACGACTCTGATGGCATTAAAACTGATTGTTTTGAGGAAAGTACATTATGTCCTTACATGTCACAGTTTATAACGATTTCTTTTAACAATGTGAGATATGGGTTGGCAAAAATTAGATCATGAATAGATCATGAAGACTGATAAAAAAAATTAAAAAATTGAAAAAAGCCTTTCCTATGTGAAATTCAAGAACCAAATGAAATGCATATTACTGCCATCTTCATATTGACAGCATATACAAATGAGATTTGCAAGAATCTTCTTAGTAATATCAATATATCAGGTGCTCATACATGAGAAATCAAAGGATTGAAACAAGCCAACAGCCCACCCATCCAGCTCCATAGACCAACTCTGCTTCTAGCTTACTGTAGAAATGACTCCATCCAACTATATGTTTTAGACTACCACAATTTTTATGTAAAATCTGTACTAGTGGAGACAAAGGAAAATATCAAATAACATTTAACTTAAATTAATATTTAATATATAGTAACCTTTTGTTTAACAATCTAGATAAATAGAAAAGCATGATAATACATGATTCATTGCAGACCAAATAATATGATTGTTTAATACATGCAGAATCTTACAAAACAATGGTTTAAACCAAGGCACAAACTAGTCATAAAACAAATAAAAAGCATTCAACAATGAAGAAATATAGTCATCAAAATAACAAATTATACAAAGGCTTGGGTATTTGATGTCCGTGGCACAATATATCACACAAGCGAAGGAATAAAAAGGCGTGGACAATGCGCCGTTTAAAATTACTAGAAAAACATGTAACACGTGATGATGACAGAATTGTACCTTTGGAAGGCTCCAACGGCTGATTCTTTTCAAGAATCTGGGATTCTTTTAGCTTACTCGATCTTTTCCCGGAAGGGTTAAAGGCACCAGATTCTGCAGCAATTCTTTGGCTGTTTATTTCACATTTGATCGCCCCCACGCTGGGGATCTGGGAATTGAGAGGTGCCACCACCACAGGATCTGAAGTAGAGGAGTAAACACCTGACACATACAATGTTGGGCAAGCCCAGAGATGAGAACCTAATTTGACCTTTTCCCTTTTGACTCCAACTCCGGTCACAAAGATGGAAGTGAAGTAAGGAGATTGTTTCACAGAACATGTTTGTAAATGCGGCATCAACAACTGGATTATCTTAATGAAGATTACCAATAATACATGCAGATGATTGGGTGCCACGTTCATGACTGGAACTGCCATCAGGAACATGTGTGGGCCCATTGACTGAAATGGTAGAAGATCTGTAACATATAGACAAAATTCAGAGTGGAAGCACAATTTTTTGCAAAGAGATGAGCAAATTAGGCTAAAAAAACAAAATGCAACATATTTACTTTGTGACATGAGGGTTCGCATTATTTTTTGTTTTTTCTAGAACTGACAGGGAGGGCTTAAAACCTCTCTCCATGCTATTACTGACTCCATTTTCCTTATGAGCACTCACATTCCTTCCACCACCAGCACCTAGTAGTGATAAGACAAAAAAAAATCCAATGAAATATATAATATAAGCAAAAATGAAGGGGGTGAATTGATATTTGGTGATTTACAGATCTCACAGAATACAAAGCCAAAATATTTAAGAACTTGCAGCTGAAAAACAAGTACTTGTGTCTTAGTTACAAGGACTCAAAATGAAAATTAAACGAAGCACATCAAATGCAATGTCATGAGGTTTTTGTCCTTCTCTATTATTCTATGTGTATAAAACAGTGTCCAACTTTTGAAAGAGCAGAAAAAGAAAGAAAAAGCACTCCTCCTGAACTAAAAGTTCAACATCTGAAATTACAAGTCACATGCCCGATGGAAATTTAAAGAAAAGATATCCGGTCTACATCTTGGCAACTTCTAGTTAACCAAACTGATCATTACGTAAAACATGATTTCACGGCACGATTTTTCATAATTCATTAAAGACACGACACCTCTCAAAGATTACCCATTAAAAATAATTTCAAATTCATTATGAAACTACATACGAGCTATGAAGCATGGATATGGTTATTATATAATATTGATACATCAATACCACAAAACTTAAAATATGAATAAGGGTATGGCCCGAAGGCAAGAAGAAAACAATAAAGGAAAATCAGCATTTACACGTTGTGAATGGCTGCTTGGTGTTAAGATACAGAATGCCACCAGCACTACCCGCTAATTAAAATTTATAATGAAACAATTAAACTCTATATGGCTTTTGGAATAACCATAACCTCTTATGAACAAAAATTAAAGAACAACCACGATTGTAGATATAAAATAAATAAATGACAAGATCGTAGATATTATTAAAAGAAAGAAACATAACAAATAAAAAAGGAAAAGACTTAAGCTCAAAAAAAGTGTTTTCTATTCTTCCTTTCTTCATTCTTATCCACTTCATTCTTATTTGAGTATTTCTGTTCAGTAAGAGAGGTAATATTTAAGGTTAACCTCAGCTTCAATTTCAGATAATCTCTTCTGATGAATAGAAAGTTTGGATTCAACCTCTGCCAAAGCATGAAGTTGCCTTAATAGATCACCACCACCCCTGCAAATATTAGTTACCGATTTAGAAAGTTAGATTACCAGAAGGGGATAAAAATAACTAAAACCATCTTCTTGTGTAGAAATAATAGCAACAATGGATTTTACTTTTTAACACTTGTAAAAAACATAAATATGTGCAGGAAAAAAAAATCAGGAAGTTTTCATAGTTCAATAAGCACATTCCAATACTTGTAGATAAGGTTTTGGCAAAGAGTAGTTAAGTAACAACTGACCAAAATTATAAATCATTACCATTCTCAAGAATGGGGCAAACAAATGTTGAACCAAATACATATTCCATAGCACGCTGCAACACACATCAACTCTCTTTAAAAACAAAATTTAACTAACCCAAGCCAAAGTTCTTTAATCCAACCAAAAACAAAAACGCACGAATGCTAATAAGATTTTGCCCATCCATTGCTTATTATTCTTGGCCAGATAAACATGATTCAATGATATAAATGATATACCATTAAGAAAGGCACGTGCTAGAAACATTCCAGCACACACAATTGCACATGGGCAAAACAACAAATACACAATTTACAATACACAGAAGACCAGTCATTGCAAAGCTTGTCACATTTCCAACCTCTTGTGCACAAAACATTCCTAGCTGAGCCTACACACAGGTATTCATTCATGTTCCACTCAACATAAAATAATTTTTTTCACCTCTTGATGCATTAGAGCCTTTACGACACACTTCACCAATCATCAGAATCATATCAAAATAATAACCAATGAAACTTCATCACATAAAAATTAAAAAAAAAAAAACAATATATGTTTCAACAAAACCAAAAAATAAGAAACAATTCTATTCTATATCATCATTATACAATGTAGCTCTGATCTTGACGATCATAAGTTGTGCTGCCAAAATCAATTACCTTGATGGCACTTGATTTTGGAACTTTTTTGAAGTAAGAACCATCCTTTGGCGATCATGAGGAACCCTGTTCACATAGAATACAAGATAAGGTCTCAACACAAGTTAACAGTAGAAAGTCCACTATACATCATGTACAATATACATAGACAAGAAGAAGAAAGATTCAAATAACCACCTAACAATGCATTACCTTGTAATCTGGAACTTTAACATGCTCTGAAGACACTAGAAGAATATTCTCAGGCTTCAAATCCGTATGAATCAGATGCAAATCATGCATAACTGCAAATTAGAGAAATAAAGCCAAATATTAATGCATGTGATGAGGAAGCTAACTAAATACAAAAATCTTTAGCAGAACTTTGTATAAAAGAATTTGCAGCTTAAAAATAAAATTGAAATGAATTAATGTTAGCTTTCATCTATCACCAACCAAACCTAGTAAAAACAGAAAACGGAAAATAATATGATGAATTTAAAGAAACTGGTCCAAGTAATTACTACACACATGCTACACATTCCAACAGTTGTCTGCCAATCTCACGGACAAGATCAATTGGAAATGAGCGATAATTGTTTTTCCGTAGAAATTTGTATAAGCTTGGTCCAAGCTTCTCAAACACCTGTTAAAGCCATTTGAATCCATCCACAAGTCTTAACCCCAAAACATTCTTGAAATTGGGGAATTTAACCCACCAAATCAATTATATACTTACAATACAGATATGGTTACGATAGTCAAACCAGTTCCTTATTTGCACACAACTGCAAGGAATAAACCCATTTAACCACTGACACAGAATTTACAAAATCCCACCAAAACATGAGGAATAGCAGTGAGAGATTGAAACACATTAAACTCATGAAATAAAACTCACCGGTTGCCATCCTTATCATGTTTCCCAAGCTGTTGCAATACTTCAACTTCTATCATAGCTGCTTCACGATATTTCTTAATACCACGAACAATTTTAATGGCAGCCATATCCTTCCTTTCTCTGTCCCAACATTCCAAGACCTGGCCAAAGGTGCCTATATAAAATATAGATTTTTTTTTTCATTTGGTAAAGTTAAAAATTTATTTGTTTTATATTTATTTTTTTTCATTTGGTAAAGTTACATTTTTTATTTTATTTTATTTTTTTTTTTGAGATTGGGGTTGCTATTGTCAAAAAATTTTATTTTTCGTTAAAATATATATTTTTTCTAGTAAATGAATTTTTTTATAAAAAATTTCTTTTTTTTTTAGTTACGAAGATTGAAAATTTATTTGTTTCATTTTTATTTTAATGAAAAAAAATATATTTTTTTTTTATTTGGTCTTTTGGGGGCGAGGGAGCGGGAAAGCTAAAAAAAAAGGGGTGGGAACAAAAAATATTTTAATGAAAAAAATGTGAAAGAGAGATGGTGGTGGTGGTGGTGGTGGTGATAGCGAAAGAAATTAGTGGTGAAGTTGTGGTAGTGGTAGTGTAAATGGAGTGGCAGGGGTGAAAGAGAGGTAATGGTAATAGTAGTGGCAGTAGTGGTAGTGGTGGTAGTGGAGTGGTGGCAATAGTTGTAATGACCCCGAAATACATGCTACAATTAGCGGTAATTAATTATGTGTTAGTATGATTTAATTGAATATTATCTGTTGAACTTAGAAAATACCTGTCGAGATTACGACTTCAGGACTGAAATTGATGACCGTAATGGGTTCAGAAAACGAAATTGAACACGCCTATGTGATACCGGGAATTTTTAGAACCATTTGAGGAAATAAATTAAGGACTGAATTTCGTCTGATTCGTAAGTCATGTTTGGCTTAAGTGTTTTGAGCATAATGGTTTATTTTGTTATATAATAGATAAGGATGGATGTTTTGACTCATTTGACTCAAACTAAAGAAAAAGAGAAGAAAAATCTGGAAAGAGAGAGAGAGAGAGAGAGAGAGAGAGAGAGTGAATTCGTGGAAGAGAGAAACCAAGGGGGAAGAAGAGTAAAGAAAAGGGAAATCAAGCTTAAATCCTCCTCAATTAAAGAATCAAGGTAAGGATCTTCTCTAAGTTCTTGAAGTAAGGTTGATGCATCAATGATCTCATGTTAAATAAATGGATTGAAGGGGAAATTATGTTTAATTTGAGCATGCATGGCATGAATAGATGATTTATAGTTATATTTGTCATATTTTGAGGAAGAACCTCCATGGATTTAAGAATGAAGCTTTTATGCTCAAGTTTATGATTTTCTATTTTACTCCAAGATTTGAACTTATATTGTTCCATATGGGTTTTGATTTGAAGTTTTGATGTTGATTTAAGATGGGTTTTAAGTGTTTTGGGTCTTGGATTTCATAAATGTGGAAAGTGATTTTGTAAAGAGGAGAATGAAGCTTGGAAGAAGAACCAGAAATTCGAATTTTTGCTCTGTACGCTCGAGCGGAGGGAAGCCCGCTCGAGCGGTGAAAACAGCCTCCCAGCGGTTTTGGGACTTTTTACAGTACGCTCGAGCGGCCAAAGTGGCGCTCGAGCGGGACGGCCTTTTTCAAGAAAACTTTGGGGAAGTTGCAGACTTGATTTTAACATGTTAATTGCATCATTTATCATCGTATAAACATGAAATGAGTATGAATCAAGTAAAGAAAGATGAGAATGAGCATGAAATGAAGTAAAGGAAAGAATGAAGTGCATGAATTAAGCGATTTAATGATAATGTGTATTGAGAAATGTATGATATGTTGATATTTGCAGGTCAAGATTTGAAGACCGTGCATTCGGAAACCCACTGTGAGTAACATTTCTGTAAAGATATGTTATTATGAACTATGTTTTAAATGTATTACGTTATGACATGCTTTAAATGAGAATGTTTTCCGTGAATGAATGTCCTGATTTGCGAATCTAGTATGGCATCCATAGATAGTTGGGTCATGGGGGCGGGAACATGCAGGCCCATGCGTCATGAGTCATGGGGAACGACATGGAAGGACAAGCCCATGACTAGTTACGAGATCTCGTAGACTGTTGACTGATAGACTGTTATGGAAGGTTCTGTGGAGTATGCCATTACGTATGTTCTTATGATGACTGATGACTGATATATGTTTATGTTTGATTTATTGTGGATTTATGAAAATGTCGGACTTCGTTCACTAACCTCTTTACTGTTATGTTACTTGCTGAGCTCTAGCTCATTGTTTGTAATTATGTATTATAGGTGAGCATTCTGGAAGTCAAGCCTAGGCGGGTTCTCGAGCCGAGCCGCTGTTTTGAAGCCTAACAAGTGTTTAGAGTGCTCCGAGCCGGGGCTAGGCCTGGAAGGCCGTTTTGTGAGCTTTGTCTTGTTGCATTTGTGGCGCGAGCCTGTGTTTTGTATATGAATTTTGATTATATGTGTTATAAGGTAGTGGGTAAATTAACATTTTTTGGCATGTAATGTATGTTCATATAAATGCACAGCTCTTTGGACTATTAGTGTTTTGTTTTCGCTTCCGCCAGCCCCGTTTATATATGTTTTGTACAGAAAGGCCTGTGGTAATCTAGGATTACTGGCCGGTTACGAAGCCAACCTTCTCGGGGCGGGTTTGGGCCGTGACAGAGTGGTATCAGAGCGCACGAGTTAATTTACCCACACACGTGTCCATCAGAGCTGTAGGGTGTCATAGAAAAGAAATAGAGCATGGCATACATGTGTGCATGTGTGTGTGTGTTTGAAAGAGAAAGAAACGAGAATTGTATGATAAGGCAACAGAAGACCTGTTATGTGAAAATGAGATGTTGTATTTTCTATGGGTTCTATAGACCAATGGAAGACGCCAATGCAAGAAATGCAGATGAGACAGAACCTTCTGATGCTAGAATGACTCGGTTAGAAAGAATGGTTGAAGCTCTGACTGGATTGGTTAGACAACAGTTAGAACAAAACCAACAACCACAACAAAGACAACCTTTTCCACCACCTCCTCCACCACCTGTTCAAGTGGAACCGATCAATTATGATGACATCATTACAATGACACAGAAATACAAGAAATTGAAACCGCCAGAATTTGCAGGAGGTATTGAGCCATTACAAGCAGAGGCATGGGTACTTGAGACTGAGAAAATTTTTGAAGTGTTTCCATGTAATGATACATATAAAGTTCTATTAGCCACATTCACTTTGAAGGAAGAAGCAAGAAGATGGTGGATGCTCATTCGAGATATAAACAGGGACTTGACATGGGATCGATTCAAAGGGATGTTTTATGAAAAGTATTTTCCACAATGCATGCGAGATAGAAAAGTATCCGAATTTGAGCAGCTGAAGCAGGGTACAATGTCAGTAGCGGAGTATGAAGGTAAGTTTACCGAATTAGCTCGTTATGCTCCTCATATGGTTGATACAGAATACAAGAAAGCAAGGAAATTTGAGGGCGGCCTACATGTTGAAGTCCTGGACCGGGTAAATGTGTTGAAATTAGAAAAATATATTGATGTACTTGACAGAGCCTTGATGGCTGAAACAAATATCACTATCTTGAAAATGTCCAAGTCTATAACTACACCTAAACCAGAAAGTAAGAAATTCAAGAAACAGAGGATGGAAACGGTTAGTGAATCAGTGGCCTCCGTGAATGAAAAGTTGAACTCAAGCTTTGATGATAATACAACAAGGGGAAATAGTGGGAGTGTAGGTAAACCTATTTGTAGGGAATGTGGGAAGCAGCATGGGGGCATTTGCCGCCGAGGAACTGGAGTTTGTTACAAATGTGGACAACAAGGACACATAGCCAAAACTTGTCCACAAGTGTATCCAAGGAATGAAAGACCCGTGACTAGTGGAGCTAACTCAACAGTGACACCAAGGACGACCGCAACAGCTACTCCCGAGGGGAATACGTTGAGGCAAGCAAGAGTTTATACCCTAGTAGCAGATAAGACGCAAAATACTGGAAAAGCAAAGACAGGTATGACTTTAATTGTCTATTATGAAGTTAACACTGTTACTTATGCGATGGAAAATATTGAACATGTGACTATGACGAAACAAATTGACCTTTGCTATTACCTTGTTATCCTTTGCTATTAATTGTGTAAGGACCTTTGCATTGAACATCTATGATGGAAGGATTAATAATGTACATTTGGGACCTTGCCCGGATAAGCGAAGTTTGGAGGACCAAACTTTTTAAGTTGGGAAGAGTGTAATGACCCCGAAATACATGCTACAATTAGCGGTAATTAATTATGTGTTAGTATGATTTAATTGAAGATTATCTGTTGAACTTAGAAAATACCTGTCGAGATTACGACTTCGGGACTGAAATTGATGACCGTAATGGGTTCAGAAAACGAAATTGAACACGCCTATGTGATACCGGGAATTTTTAGAACCATTTGAGGAAATAAATTAAGGACTGAATTTCGTCTGATTCGTAAGTCATGTTTGGCTTAAGTGTTTTGAGCATAATGGTTTATTTTGTTATATAATAGATAAGGATGGATGTTTTGACTCATTTGACTCAAACTAAAGAAAAAAAGAAGAAAAATCTGGAAAGAGAGAGAGAGAGAGAGAGAGAGAGAGAGAGAGAGTGAATTCGTGGAAGAGAGAAACCAAGGGGGAAGAAGAGTAAAGAAAGGGGAAATCAAGCTTAAATCCTCCTCAATTAAAGAATCAAGGTAAGGATCTTCTCTAAGTTCTTGAAGTAAGGTTGATGCATCAATGATCTCATGTTAAATAAATGGATTGAAGGGGAAATTATGTTTAATTTGAGCATGCATGGCATGAATAGATGATTTATGTTTATATTTGGCATTCTTGAGGAAGAACCTCCATGGATATGAAGAAATAAAGCTTTTACATGAATAGTTATGATTCTTCACCTCAATCAAGGTTGGATTTTGTATATGATGCATTTGGGTTTAGTTTTGAAGCTTAAATCAAGTGGTTTTCAAGTGTTTTGGGACTTGGATTTCATAAATGTTGAAGTTGTTTGTTAAAGGAAAGGTTAAAGCTTTGGAAGAGTTTAGAATTGCAGATTTTCGCGCAGTCCGCTCGAGCGGAGGGA